TCCTGTAGTATCAAAAACCTTTGATTCTTCTAAAAACTGGGTTAAAATTACTGGAGGACAGCATCATACAATGGCTTTGGATGAAAATGGAAAAGTTTACGTGTTAGGAAGAAAAGATTATGGGAGATTAGGTTTGGGAAAAAATTGTGAAGATGCTAAAGAATTGACATTAGTTTCAACGCTTAGTAATGATGAGTGCACTGATATCGCATGCGGTAGCTCTGTTTCATTTGCTGTTACCAAATCAGGCGCATGTTATGCTTGGGGCATGGGTTCCAATGGTCAATTAGGAATGGGAGATGATGATAGTGACATATTCGAACCAAGTAAAATCCTTGGAAAACAATTAGAAGGTAAAAATGTTCATTTGGTTTCTGCAGGTGGACAACACACCGTGCTTTTAGTTCTTACAGCCGTTTCAAACGGTTCAACATAGGGAAAAAATTTTTTTTTCGGTTGTTTTTATTTTTATTTTTTAATAATCCAAGCTAGTATAACAATTTTAAAATATTTTTCTGCTAGGGCTAATTTTGTTAATTTAGTTTGTAAAAGAATAACATTTTTTTTTCTCTCTCTCTCTCTCTTACATAGAAAAAAAAAACACTGACATGTGAATGATTTTGTATTTTTATTACAGTGAATAGTTTTTTTTTTTTAAATTTTCTTTTCATTTTATATATCATTGTGTGTTTTTTTCATTTACACTCTCTCCTCTTTCCAACAATTCATCTCACATCGAGTCAGTTTCCCTTAAAAATCATTATTTTAAATTATTTTACAACAAAACAAAAGAAAGAAACAAATTGCCGAGTACAAATTTTTTTTTTTTTTAAAATAATTAATAAGAAATTAATATCATTGTAAATACAAATGGAATTAATATGCCATTTTTTAAAAAAAATAAAAAAAAAAAAACTAATAATGAATTTTGTCTAACGAACAAAAAAAAAAAAAAAAAATATTTTAAACGATGAGTAAAAAATTCACCATCGATTAATTAAAAAATAATTAATAATAATTTTCCTTTTTTATTTTCTCTTTTTTTCTTTTATTCAAAGTGTATTAAATGCATAATATTTTGAACACACCATGTTATAAGAATTTTTAAAATTTCCCATTTTATACCTTTTTTTTTTTTCTCTTCAACTTTTAAATCGAAAGTTAAAAATTTTATCAAATGAATTTTTTAATATTGTTTGAAACCTATTTGAAGAAATTCCTTAGAACTTTTTTTTTAATCTTAACATTATATTGATTTTTTAATGTTTTTTTAATTTTTATTTTAAAAAAAGTTATATTTATATATATATATACATACTAAACATATATATTTAAGATAAATTAATTAAATTTACAAAAAGGGGATTTTTATTAAAAATTTTTTGTATTCGAATGGCTTTTTTTTTTTTTTAGAATTATGTATTATTAATTTGTTTATCATCTATTTATTCTGTCACACTAATTTAAATTACAAAAAAATGTTGTAGTTTTAAAAAAAAAGAAGAAGAAAAATTAATTTATTTTGTATTGAATTTTTTTTTTTTAACAAGTCATTTCTCTTACGCTTTTAAGTTTTTTTTTTTTTTTAATAACTCATAAATAAATAAAAATTGTTTTTTTTTTTTATTTTTTTGTCCATTTTTAATTTTTTTTTTTTTGATAAAAATAAATTGAATGATGTATGTATGATAAGAAGGACACGTTTATTAAATTCATTATTTTGTTTTTTCTAATTGAAATTATTTTTAAAGAAGTTTGAAAGGGGGAAAAATGAAATCAATGTTCTAATCTAATCACATATCTTAAATATTTTTCACCAATTTCATCCAATTGTAAATCTTCAATTCATCCCAATCATAATCAGATTCGGAGGTGTCATCATCATCATTAAATGAATACAAATCGGTATTGGCGGCGTCCATCTTTAAATTTTTTACATGGTAATAATTCATTTTACTATTTATCGGATTACCCGTCACGTTTATTTCTTTAACGTAATTCATTTTTTCTAATACATCTAAATCAATATCCGTTATGTAATTATGATTTAAAAAAACGAATTTTAAATTCTGAAAGAATAAAAAAAAAGGTTTAAATATGTTTTTTTTTTTTTTTTTTTTTTAAGTGATTCAATTTATTTTTTTTTTGGATTCTTACATTTAAATCTTTCAAATCGGGAAATTTTTCAAAAGGATTATGACTTAAATTTAAATGTCTCAGATTTTCCAATCCTTCGATTTCATTTGGAATGCAAGTTAATAAATTTTCTTCTAATGTCAACCACCCGAAGGTAAAAACCGGAAATGTTAATGAAAACATTTTTTGGCGGGAAATTTAAAAATGTATTACCTTAAACGGTGCAGAAGACCGATTTGTAACGGAAGTTCTTTTATGAAGTTACCTCTGGCTCCGAATGTGTCTAATAAAGTGCAATTACCAATTTCTGGTGGTATATATTTCAGGTTCGTATGATTTAACCATAAAACTTGTAATTTATTTAATTTTCCAATTTCTGGTATTAAATAATTTAATTTGTTGTAACTTAGATTTAGACATGCCAAATCGTAGAGTTTTCCAATTTCGGGCGGTACGGAATATAATAAATTGTAATCCATTGCCAAAATTTTAAGATATTTTAAATGGACAAATTCGTGGGGTAGTGATTTTAATTTGTTATTTTTGAGATATAATTTTGTTAAATTTTTTATTTTTAACAAAGATAAAGGCAATTCGTTTATTTCCGAGTCGTTTAAATTCAATGTTGACTTCTTATTCAATGCAGCTAATTCAATTGTTGCCAAAACTAAATTTTCCCTTATGAAGTTATAAAAACTTGTCATTTTCTGAAAATCATGGAAAATATTTTTGCGAGCATAAAAAAAACATAATAATTTATAATTATTCACTTATGATTTTAAAGGGGGGGAAAAAAGAAAAAATTCAACAAAATTCATTTGAATTTAATTTTTCAAGTATGGCTTTTGTAGCGATTTGAATTAAACCCTTTTTTTTATAATTTAGTTTAATGTTATTTTAATCATAATCAATTCTTTATTGTAGGTGATACTGCAGAAAGACATTAAAGTTTACTTTTTTCATATCACTTTCAACTTTTAACAATTCGAATAAGTAAAAAAAAACTTATGCCATGGTTTAAATGACAACCTGTAATGGAAATTATTCTGTGATATCGTTAAGGTAAGTAATATTTTATTTAATAAAAAAAAGTTTTCTTTTTGTTTTAAATCAAGGATTATAAATAATATGAATAAATTGATTCATAAAAATAAAAAAATGAAATTTAACAGAAAAAAAAAAAACAATATTTTATTTAACTCGATAACTAATGAAAATGAATTAACACAAAGTAAATAAAAACTACAATTGCTAAAATCATTTATAATAGCTTTTAGCTATTGCTACAACAATATATATCTATATTTTATTATTTTTTTGTAATTATGATTTCGCTTGCTCAGCTTGTAATTTTTTCACAAAATCATCATCCTGCATTGATAATTCGGTTAATTTTTTTCCAACTCTTTCGTGTATGTCAAGATATTTAGCTATACAGCGATCGAGACAAACAGCTTCGCCTTTACCAAGTTCTGCATCTTTATATTTAGGCGGAATACATTTTCTATGACATGCACTCGTCATGCGATTGTACATGTCTGACATCATTTCAATTTCTAATTCCTGTACCAATTGCATTTTGGCCGAGTCTAAAGGCGGTAAACCAGCCATTTTTATTTTTTTTTTTCAATGGCTTGAAAAGTTAACTCGTATTATATATATATTATTTAACTTTTATTTATTAACTAAATGTAAATGTGCATTGTAATTTCATATATATTTAACCCCGTTCACTTGCCTAATTTTATATTAAAATAGTAGTTTTTTTTTTTTTAATTAATTAATTAATAAAAAAATTAATTATTTAAATCGGCACTTTCACTTAGTAATGCCTTTTGTTTTTCGGCTTGTCGCAATTTCATGCTCTTATATCGTCTCGCATCAACGCTTTTTTTTGACAAGAAAAAACTGTAAAAACCCAAAGAAATGGCAACAGACCTTAAATGATAAAAAAAAATACAATTATTTTATTATTATTATATTCCCCGAAAAAAAAATATAAAAATTATTATGAAAAAGCATGACTGAGTAAAAAAAAAAAAAAAAAAAAAAAAAAATCAAAACCGGGATTTTACCTTTAAATTAGAACTCTAACCTACCAACCAATGAATATTTTGGTGTGTATCTGCATAGCACCCTAAATTCTTTTTAGTAATTTATCAAATCTTTGACGAGTATTTTATAATTAAATAAATTTTCATAAATTTTATAAAAAATTAGAAGGAAAAAAAAATTTTTTGGAAAAAAAATGTGGAACAACAAACAGTGAATTTTTTTTTCAAGTCTACCAATTGTTTTTATCTCAGAGTCATAGATATATATATATATATATATATAATATACACATAAATATAAACTAATGATAGATACAAAGTTTTTATTTATTTTTTAAATTTATTTTTTCATAACTTGTTAATTATTTTTTTTTTTTTTAAATAATAGAAAATATAAAAATTATAATATTAATCACGATTAATTAATTTAAAAAAATATACAACGTTGCCACTGTAAATATTATAATGTCAGTTATAAAAAGTGGTCTGAGGTCTTGAGCTTGGGTGAATAAAATGTCACGAATTTATTAGAGTTTAATTTTTTTTTTTTATTATTATTATTATTTAAAAATGTCATCGAAAGAAGAAAAATTAGCAGCAGCTAGAAAAAAGGTAATCGTTATATAATTTTAATTTTCCCAAAAAAATAGCCTTAGTAAAATAAAAGAGGGATTTTGAAAGCTCACATTTGTACACGTCATTCCATATTGTGACATTCAAAAAAAATTTATTTAATATCTTATAAAAAATTAATCAAATTTATTTTAATGAATAAATTATGTTTAAAAAAAAAAAATTTTATTAATTGTTTTTTATTTAATTTTATTAATGTTTATCGATAAATTTGTAAATAGTTTGTTGAAAATGATTTTTGTAGCTTAAAGAATTTCAAGAAAAGCAAAAACTTTTAGATGGATCCAAGCAAAAACTTATTAATAAGACATTTGTGAAAACTGAAGAATCATCTGAATCATCTTCTTGTTGTACACCAGTATTGGATTCAAACAAAAATTACAATAATGAAAATGTATTCGATAAGCATACAGATATCGGACAGTATAATGATAATAAAATAGTTTCGTCAGATCATAAGAATTTCTCTCCAACACCCAATAATACTTTTGCATTGAATTCAGAAACTAATAATAATAATAGTTCGAGTAATTTCTCAATTAAAAATGAAGTAAATGAAGAAAATTTAAATTTGATAAATAATAAAAATCAAAGTAATTTAGAATTAGAATCAATATCAAATTCGAAAAGTTTTCTACCCGAGCCTGGTTTTACCGATGTAAAAAA